TTCACCCTGACAAACAAAATTATGACACATTTTAATATTTGACGCTACTTTGGCCACCTCCTTGATCCAAGCATGGTAGTTTTCTTTCGGTAGTTTCAAGGCGTCGATCTTGTCTGGAAGATTTCTACTGATTGATCGACGTAGCTAGTTTATCTTGAGCCTCTCTGGCCATTCATGGCCTCTGGCATATTCGACTGAAGTTCCCACTCTTGTAGAAACCGTCGAAAGACTTGTGTTTGTCGAACCCTTTGAGCTGGTTCGGAAGCTGTAATGATTGAGACTAGAGGTATCTGGAAGAATAGCTCGCACAGGAGCTTTCGATTGAACTAAATAAAAAGATGTAATTGTCTATCTGTCTTCCTTCCCCTTTCTCTCAGCTTATATATCTACACACATCTACTACCTCACATATGATGATAATATCTAGAAATAGTTTCCTTACATCACAAGACACAATCCAAACATGCTGTAGCCAAGATATAATCCTAGAACAACTCAATACCAGTCCACCACGTCTGTTACACATATGCCAAGTATTTTCTAGCTGAAAATAACCCAAAACGCGAAGGTTTTCCTATGGCAATCACAATCTATTTCAGGTACCAGCTTGGCATGTTATTCTGACAATAATGTTACAATCATGTTAGAAGAATGGAATTTACATGAATCACGAAAACATTAAGTCAAGAATACTGATTCCATCGGGTTCTGATCCTGGTCTGACAGTGCTTCACCTTGTCTCATCGAGTGTAACTTGAGTTCAGCCTTTTCGATGCCGACCTCGTCAAAGTATGCGTTGTTACACTTTCCCAAAAATTCTCTCCAGTTACAAGTAGATCCATGAGTTCCATACTTCATCCAGTGACTCCGAATTCTTTGATGTTGTGGTTCCAGGATACTCTGATAAATCTTCATAAAAATTGCTATATCCGTAACTAGAAATGGTGTATACACCTCGCATTGAATCTGTAGAAGCTTATCATGAGTGGACCACGTCAGGGCCACTCAATCCTATCTACCAAAGTCATAATCTCACATCATTTGATTACCTAATGGTTGTTGATTAAAATTGAGCTGAGGAGTTTTTTCAATTCGATTACTGGCTAGGACGTTAGATGCCGAATGATTATCAGGAAATGCAATGGTATTTAAAAATTCGTTTTCGGAAGATATATTGCCATAGTGAATGTAAGATGATTCTGAATCGGACGGAAGCTCTATCTTCATGCGCTGGATAAGGGAGCTTGTTTGTGAGCGAGATTTCGTTAATTTGTCGCCGGATCCCTTAGTGTTGGTACACAGCAGAGCAAGTCCAGAATAAAATCAGTTAACGAAATCTAGAGACAGAGGGTCTCTTACATCTTGCTATTTACATAAGGGACTTGAATTAACGACGGCGACCATAACAGTCTCCGTTGCTTAGCAACCGTTTCCGATCCATATTCTTAGTAGTCTCTGTAGCTGACTAGACTCTAGATTCCATCTCTACCGTACAGGCGCAGACAGGACACACATAAGAGATTATTCCCGTAACACAGAGAAGCTTAATTTGTCAAGCTTGTGTTTCATTTCACCAAGTGAAGCGAGTTGGGAGTTTGAAACCTGTGGTGGAGAGTGTCACAGATCAACTATAGAAAGCAGGGAGCATTTGTATGGATGATGGTATATTAACAATTCAACTATGTAGAACTAAGCTACAGATACTTAGCCAGGTATTTATACCGATTACTACATTCCAAGCCCTTCCATCTAAGGTCAGTTCATTTCTAGATAATTCCAGTTGCAACTCTGAGAATATGGTTTCTAGTAGCTTCTCCAAGTCTCAGTAACAGTCTTGTTCATGTCGAATCTTATCTAGTACCTTCGACAATGGTTCTGGTATGTTCTGCAAGGCTATTGCGCCGGCCCACCCCCCTGGTGGTTATACGCCAGTACTTGCCATTACTGGCTACAGGAAAATACCGGCTTCTTAGCCGTTACAGAGAGTTGTTAATTAAACCCACTAAATATCAGAGCGCTATTTAAACTTATTGCTACATCTAAGTGATGGACATGGTCCACTGGTATAATGCCTCAAAATTGCTTAAACAAGTAGTGTAATTCTATCTGTTATCTCCTGCCTCCTCTCTAAAGGATTAATAATGAAGTTACAGAGCGAAGCCTAGCGCCCTAACTAAATCATGTGATAAACTCACCAATACTTATGGAAGTATATGCCTAAGACAAGCACTCCAAACCTACGCCACACACCTGTGAACCGACAGTATAAGTTACCATAAACTTGGCTAGTAATACTAGAACCTTTGTGCGCTTCATATTAATGGGACTCTTCATTGCCAAATAGCGCCATTTTCAACAGTTAAAAGGGGGAGATGGTCTGGTGTTGATTCTAAGTCCGTGACTATTTCTTATTCTGCTTCAAGTATCAGGGTTCTGCGCCTAAGGGCCATGTCCAAAACGTTCCCGCAATTGTGAGTTGCAACTTCTGAAGGTGAGCGGAGATGAAAACCGAAGCTCCCTTGTACTAGGCAGCTCCCACCGAGTTCTTTAGACTGATAGGTGTACAATTTTTCCAGTGCATTTACCCTAAGAGAGCCCTGGAGTGCGTTGAAGATGTAAACTACATTGTGCACCTGACCATGTTTTGAGATTAGGCGTAAGTGTAATATATCTCAAGATATAACAGTGGGGACTTATTCAGTGCAAAGGCCTACTACCTTAAGGACATAGGAGATGAAATGGGGCCTTTCTGTGGCCCGGTTATCAATGGGGGAAAAGGAATCAAAAGATGGATGTAGTTTTGTTATTTTCCTAGATTGATATTGAAATATATAAGGCTCCTGTATAAAAATTATATTGACTCTTTTCTATAGGCTCTAATGAAGGAAATTTCATGAGCGTGAGCTCCTCGTCCAAAATTTTGAGAGATTATCTTTAGCAATTTATTGCAAGGCGTTTTTCGAGCTTTTCGGTCATTAGAATTGTATTTGTTGCGCGTTCTGACAACATTTTATGTTAACAATGTCGAGAAGGGCGTTTGAGATTTGTAATGGGGGGCCTGATTGAGGTGCCACTGTTTGGGATTTTGGTCCAGTTTGTGGAGCCGATCCTGAAGGAAAATTATCTTCTGATTGGGAAGAGACAATTTGCTGGGTGGAATTGGGGGTCTTTGGACCGGGTTTACACAGCCAGCTTCTGCTTGGTGCTGCAGGCGAGCTTCTAAGCTGGGTTTCTTGGTTGCAGATTTGCGATTTAAATTTAGGGGATGCATTAGGTTTGGAGCGGAGTTTGCTGGCGACATCCGGAGATGGACGGTTTTATGGTACTGCGGGGACTGGTAATGTGTGAATATCTATTGCGCCCTTGAATACTCTTTAATTTGATCCTTCTATTTTCATTCACCATTTCCACAACTACTCTGTATTACGACTGACCTCAGGTTGATATTAGAAGACTCCCTTGAAAGTGTGACGGAAACCGAGTTGGTGATGAATAAATCAATTTAATAAACTATATGAGGAGAAAAGCTAACTCTAGCTACTTCTAACAGGTATTTATTAGAGCTAATCCTAATGATTAAAAAAAAAAAAAGAAAAAAAAAAGAAAAAGAGAGCTAATCCTCCTCGTGAATCTACAGACTAGTGACTTGTCCTTAGGCACAATACTTCTTATCCAGCCACGTATTTCCAGGTGTTACTTAGTTGTAATAACGCTTCAGCCTCCTGACTAGTATTGCCGTTTCGTTCAGCTTCATCTCCCCCCCCCCCCCCCCCATACAGCCTCATCGTAAGAATTCTTAGTATCAGGCTTAGGTAGATACCTAAGCTCAAACAACGGTCAAACCGTAACAGTAAGATAATAGAAAAATCACTTTGTATTTGGACCAAAAGCTAAGTACAATAACTAGAAGAAAAGACAAGGAAAGGAAGGGATCTGCAGCCTCGCTGTGCCGAAAACTCCACCAGACTCTACATCACATGATACCAGAAAACCATGACTTGTGAATAGAATTAAATTTAAGTCCCTACTGAGTCTAAGACTATGAAGGACTGCATGACTTGTGAACACAGGCCATAAAACTCTGGGCTAATCACCTCTATTTATATTGGTTTGATCAATTTAAAATAGGATTAAATATAGATTGGTCTCATCTCCAAACTATCTTTCTTTTGCCCTTTTATCTTTATGGACAAGCCATGTTATTCTACGTCATGCTGGCCGTCATCAAGCTTAGAGTTATGGACAGATTAAATCTTTAAGATAGCTTGATATTTGAATAAACATTAAGTGATAGAAAATATAGCCTGGATCTTATGCTGGGGCCTAGCACAACTCGGGCATACTGTGGTACTTGCAGATGAAATCTGAGACATGATCTTCTATTAAGTTGAGTCATCTCTTCTGGACCTTTTCCTTGATGTGGTGTTTTAGCTATATGGCTGCCTATGCAATTAGAATCTAGTGCAAAAAGCTAATGAGGCACAAGCCTAAGGCATGCCTATTTTGGAAGAATATTATGATTTAAGGCTGATGGATGAGACCCATCCACACCTCGGCTCGCTCTTGGAAGGTAGGGAGAGCTAAGACTGGCCTGAAATAGAGGAGACTGCCTCGGCACCGGACTAAGCTGACATAGCTGACCTTGGGAACCATATTAATTTAACGATAAGTCAACTTGCGAGGGAGTTTAATAGAGTCCCTTTGGAGAAAAATGGGGTTTTGCATTGATCATGGAAAGGATTTTGTGCAAGGCGTTAGAGACCATCCACAAATAAGATATTTGTACGGTACAGCCAAGAAATTTCTTCAAGGAACCCGGAATGGTTGAGGATCTCTATAGCTATATTTCCGGGAACTGCCTAGACTTATGGGCATGGCATTCTAGTTAAAAGAAAGCGGAACTGGACATATAAGTGTCTGTATTGGCCGTCATTCAGACGATTGTACGAATGAATTTATATAATCCGACAGGCTCCATTAAGTCCAACTGACCGTTAATCATGCGCTTTTCAAGAATCGCCATAATTTTTCAAAGCGCAAACCTCTGTGGGACCGCTCTTGCTGCCTTTAAGGGATATCATATCAGAGAAGATCTTAAAAAGTTTGACTGTGACGGACGTGTTATCAGCGAGCATGATTACAGATATCAAAAACATCGGGCATCAATAAGTATTGAAAACAATGAGCACCCCCATCAGACTTCTGGAAACTTTGTCAATCAGTATTTGGAGAACTTCAGTGATACAAGATGGGTCCTTTTTTTAGATGAATCCTCGAGAAAGTTTTATCTTTCTGATCTCGACATACCTGGGGAAAGTTAGTCTTGTCACCTCTGCATTGGTAAATCACTTCTAACTGTTATAACCAGTTGTAAGAGCTGACAATGGAACTCAAAAAACCTCCTATGTTCTCGTACTCGATAACCAGTGCCGCACAGTTGCCATGTTCATGAAGCATACCATTACTCAGACCGACATGCCGGGTGGAACCATGATAGCTACAGATTATAAAATTTGTGGCATCATTAGGAATTATGTTGAGTGAATATCAGAAAAAACATGAATTGAATTGGGAAAACATGGATACATCTGTCTCGGAGGCTAAGGAAATTGATGTCTACATAAACTCATTTTTCCCCTGTTCATTCATACAACATTAAGACTATGTAACCTGCTACATGTTTTGTGATGGTCAAGATAAGCTCAGTCAAAATAAAACTACCTGATGTGTTAGTGCCTGAACAAACCCAACAAAGCAAATGAAAGCTAGGATCTCATCATCCTGCACTTGAAGATTAAATTATACATGGTTACCGGTCTCCCTTCAACTCTCATGTATTCAGATGGTATTGAATGAAGAATAGATTAAATAAACAATATGGAGGGGGGAACTTAGTTGAATCACATGATTCCCTTTCGGTCAGACTTGTTGTGCTTTTCCAAAGAAATTTGTGACACGCACCCAGCTATTATATGCGTGAGCTCCCTCCGCGGAAGCGAGAGCCCAAGATATGCTGGGACTAGGATTCTGTGCTCTGTGGAGCTGTGCCTGGTATTGCCCGAGGTGGCAATAGAAAAAGTGGTTGGGGGAAATGGGTGTCAGTAGGTATCAAATGTGAACTCTTACGGACGATGGTGTCACGGGACCAAGTACCATAGTAGGTTAGTGTGAAGTGTTTGGGTATTTGGTTAGATTAGATTAGATTATAGTCCTAACTGAGTCTATGACTACGGAGGACTTCTAGAATCTATATAAGATACTAATTTTATATGATTTATTTGATTTGTGTATTTGGTTGTTTCTCGTGTACATGGACATCTTTTACTCTCCCATCGCACAACACAGTCATATCCTTATTACCTATCCTGATTACTTACCCTTGTAACTTATTCCTGTTACGCATCCAGCAAACCAGATCCACCGTTGTGACAAATGTTGATCTATGAAGGTGATACTAGATGTGAATCCCGACAATTGATAATATCATCTAATGGATGATGTGAAGTATGATATTATTCCGATAGATCAATTTACTAATCTCAGGAGGTGAAGAGATTGTAAAGAACATGAACAGTGTGTGAGCAGTAGCCTGTATTTTCCACCCTTTCCTAATCCAGCAGCCCATCCTCCAATCCTCTGTCTCCCAGCAACTCAACCGAGCCAGTACAACAAAAAGCCCAATCTAAAGATATGGGTATAAATGTCCTGACTTCACTTTCGAATATAAGTCAGAGGTTAGTCATCGTTCATTATGAATATTAGTATCTTTTGTAGAATAGGAGAATAGACAAGATCCACCAACACAACCGCAGAAACGTGACATACAGTTTACGTTCTTTACACTGTGTTTAAGTATCCCGACAACAGAAGTTCCCAGGGTGAAAGTCGACAAGCGACTATTTCTTCGCCTTGGAAGCGACCATTGTTGGAATTGGAGACACAGAGTGTTGTGGACGTACGGGCCCTCCCTTTTGTCCAGGTTCCCAACACGATATTTTGTGTATTTATGAGGTTGGAATGGGTATTATGGTAGCGCTTCAGACTGCCTATTGAATATATGAGCGGCTGTACGGCGTGGGCACAAGGAGATTGTTGGGGGTTTCTATGCCTAGATGGCGCCACACTCGTTTATGCTGTGGCTTAGGCTACGTGTCGCTTACACTTGTACTTTTTTTTTTTTTTTAAAATCATTTAATGTGTATTCAGCTATCTAGCTATGACACATGACCGGCGCTATGAATACATGTTGGATGACTCTTTTGACGTTAGGGACACTCATACTCTGGATTTCACTTGCAAATACCACTACGAGGTATGCTTGCTTACACAAACAGTCGACCCTCCTCCGTTAGTACCCACCAAAGGGAATTTCAAAACCTTTGGTTATCCAAGCATGCCTTCGTCATCCATGCATACCAGCGCCGCGAGAAATGTGGTTGTGTTTTGCCGGGTGCGAACCAGCGATCTACTGTCTCAAGTGGGATATGTGTCCAAGCTATCCAGACTACATGGCAGACCGGCCAAGATGATATACCACCGCACCATCCAACCATGGCAGTTTTTATAGTGACGCCTGCACTCTCGCAGCCGAAGACTTGGCACGCACAAAGCTCAATTCGTAAAAACTCCATGCCAAAACTCGAAATTCCACGCCCGTCGAGACTGTATCCAATCCTCTGCATCATCTTATTAACTTGTCCTGATCCCTCTCACATCCATCCCAAGGAATTGTCTTCCAGATTTGTGCGCCACGCTTTGCTTCCTCCGTCGGGTGTAAATATCGGCGTGGGCGTGTATCTGGCGACCAGCTAAGGCCAGAGAAAGTCGACAAGAGGTGTGGTCATTGGGATTAGGATGTACTAGGTCGTACTTGTAAACTTGATGAGGTTTAGGTAGGAATCGATTTCGTTAGGAGTGAAAGATTGATATGGTGGAGTAATTTGAATCATTGCCTCGTGGGCCAACTTGTTCGGTATTGCGAAGTTTGACTGAACTTGGCTCTGGGAGAATATTTCACTCCCAGGTTCGTAGAGGACACCGCTTACAGGTGTTCAGTCTTGCCCTCCTACACTTGTACTTTTAGCGAACACTTCACACTCTTCTGGTCAACTTCTTTCGTTCCATAAATATTGCGCCCAATGCATTGCGCGATATTTCCAACGACCATCCATGGCGAAAATTATCTCCCCTGGGTGCCAAAGCTGCTGTCGATGGACTCATATATGACGGCAATCATATCGACTCAGTACAACTAGTCAAGTCAGGATTTTCCTTTCTACCATATTCCGAAGAAAAGAGACAGCCTCTCCTAGATACCTCGTCAATATTGGCGAAACAAAACGCCAAAATTGAACCACCTTCGGACCTTGTCGCCCTGAGAATCTCCAATATTCCCGAGAAGGCAAAAATGGAGTGGGAAGATGAGTAACTCAACAAAATATGGGCTGAGGGTGAAATTGAATAATTGACTGGCAAGAAGCCAGCCCAAGTGCGGCCCCATGAGGCATGTTGGCCCGGGGCCTAATACCACAACTGGCATGCCCTTTTCCACCGGGACTCTGCTCCCCGTGCGGGCTTCCACCTACTCGACAAGTCTGGGGGGGGGGGCAATCTTTCACAAACCTCGTCGCAAAATTAAGCAGTGCAAACGCTGTTTAGGCTACCACGCCACCTGTGGTTGCTCCTGCGCTCCAGCATACTGGAACTGCGGCTCTATTATGCACTCGGAAGCCGAGTGCAAGGCCCTTACCAAGTGTCAGAACTGTGGGGGACCTCACCAATCGGATTTCCGGGACTGCCAAGTCAGACCCAGAAAGACCGGACCAGTAACCAAAGAGCAGCTCACGTGGATCCACCAATTCGATCAAAGGAAGCTTGCGAAGATGGCACGAGCTCGAGCTACAGCCAAAAGGGCTGAAGAGCCGATCATCGCCTCAGCCAATGATGGTTCAATAGCCGAGGGATCACGTTTCGGAGCACTGGAATCTGAAGAAGAAGCCTGAGGGAACAGCAACCTCGACGATGCCTCTCATGGGCATCTACCAACCGATAGCAGGAAACAAACTGGATCAAAGGTGCTTGCTAACCCATCTTTTACTCTCGGCAGAGAATGGGTAAATTTGTCATTTTGAAGGTGTGTCAGACAATAGAATGTGTAAGGAGCGCATTGCTTGGGTCCAACCTGGAGGAATCTTCTGTCTTTCGAAGTTATTTTGATTTTCGTGATTTTTCTTTTCTGTTCAATCTATAAGGAAATGGTTAAACTGTCCATTGTGTGACAGTGTGAAAGGACGGAGCATGAGCGTCTAGCTAACGTGTACCCAAAACAGAATTTATATTCTATCTAAAGAGAAGGATACCCTGTACAGATGTTCATAAATATAAAATACGCGACGCGTAAGGCGTCCCTTTACATAAGCAATAACAACGCTTGAACACAAAAGTGTTAGCGCTTGGCAAGGGACCGGATAAATTCCGGTTCCAGACTACATGGCTACAGCCTGTAACAGGCAGTCGGGGAAGTTCTTGTTAGAGTATAGAGAAGACTTCGGAGTAAGAATTGCCTGAGAACAGAGAATAAGTTCAGTTTGCTTAATTGAATAATAGAATACAGGTACTATGATATATAAAGTGGAATTACAAGGAAGAAAGGTTATCCGGAACCGACTCGACTGCAGAAATGAGTAAGATACCAGACCAGAGAAGAATTATCCACTGACTCAGAATACTGGGTCATGCAATAGAAAATACGAACAAACCAATGACTGGATTTGTTCGGGATGAATGGGATTAAAGCAGACTCAAACGTTGAGTCCGATTGGATCAGAAGTATGGGCTCCTGCCTGAACTCAGAAATATGGTTCAGGCAAGATGCATGCAACCACATTAGTCGATGGAAAGAAAAGCAGGAAACTGTATTTCCAACAGTTCTCAATTTGGCTTGAGACGCACGATCAATAGTTTACGATTCTTCTGAAGAGAAAGTATGTATGTACAAGAAGGGCTTATTTATACCCGAGCTCTCCTCAAATACGTGTTCCGCATCTATTCCTAAGAGCGGACAGATGAACCTATGGGGAGTTTAGGTTTCTGCATTGGTATTAACTCCCGACGCTCGCCCTAGCACTCGGCTACCTTTCAATCAGTTTCGCCGTACCCGAAATAATCCACTCTGAGCTCATGCGAGTGCTGTTAACTTTCTCAATGGATGTTCCGGCACACGGTCCACAACACAGTCCTCTAATTATGTCACTCCCCGTGCTCGAGGCAATCCCCCCCGTGACCGTCCAAGTGTTTGCTAGTAGTCTGAGCAGTAGAGTGAGTTTTCCATTACCTGATGTCCCAGCGGGTGGAAAGGGTGCCTACGTTGGCCAATGCAGACTACAGGGCTTACCGTCGGCTCACCAGCCGTTACACTTTGCAGCTATTTCTCAAGGAGCAGTGTTATTAGTATTCCGTAGGGTACGAATTTGGTACAAGTAGGTTACAGGTGTGGAGTATGGTGGTGATTCCTAAGAGTAGGAGGTATAAATTCAGCGTTAGGT